GGGGCTAGGTGTCCACATAGATGCTGAGGAATGCCCAGGCTTCCTTCCCTGAGACTGCCTGCTCAACACCACTCCTTCTTAGTTTGCTTGACCCAGGTCACTGTGACCTGACCATTTTTTCCCTGCATCCAGGGCTGAGGTGGAGAGGGGCAGTGTACTCCTGCAGCACAGGTACGGGAGGAGGCAGCTGTGGGAGGGAGGGAAAGAAGGCCACAGGCACTGCTCTTGTGCAAGGAAGCCTCCCTCTCACTCTTCAGCTGGCAGTGGGTGGCTGCCCAGAACCAGGCTGTCTGGATCAAACCCAGCTTTTGCACTTGTGACCTTGAACCAGACCTTTCCTCGAACTCTCTGACTGTGTTTCCTCAACTGGACCCATACAGCTCACCCTGCCCTGCTCAGGCCTGAGATTGCAATGACTACTTACGCACTACTGACAATGTGAATAGCCCTGAGACCCCAGCTCCGGTGGCTCATACCTGTAACCACACCGTTCGGGCGGTTGAGCGTGAGCAAACCTGCGTTCACGCGAGTTCGAGCCAGCCTGACCAACATGGAGAAACCCATCTCTTTAACTAAGAAAAACAAAACTGCCAGGCGCAGTGGCTCATGCTGTAATCCTAGCATCTTGGACGCAAGGTGGGTGGATCTCACAAGGTCCAGGAGATGAACCATCTGCTAACATGGTGAAAACCCCCCGTCCTACTAAAATACAGAAAAAAAGAATTAGCGAGCGCATGGTGCGGCGCGCCTGTAATCCCGCTCTCGGGAGGCTGAGGCACGGAGAATCCACTGTGAAACCCAGGAGGCAGACGGTTGCGTGAGCACTGCTCCTCCAGCTCTGGGCAACGAAATGAGACTCTGTCTCAAAAAAAAAAAAAATAGCACCTGAGGTTGTTTTTGTTCAATGTTTGCTATCAGGATTATCGATGTTTATTACTCAGCTATCCCCTTTGTTCCTCTGGAAAGACACAGCAAAGCTGGCTGGCGTGCTATGGCTCATACCTGTAATCCCAGCATTTTGCGACGGCTGAGGCAGGCAGCATTGCTTGACTCCAGGAGTTCACAGACCGCCTCGGCCAACTTGTGGGAAACCCCATCCTCTACAAAAAAAAAAAAAAAAAAAAACATACCTGAGCTGCGGTGCACCGCCCTGTGTCCCAGCTACTCGAAGCAGCTTGAAGGTGGGAGAAGTACCTAAACCAGGAGGTCAAGGCTGCAGTGAGCTGTGATTGCACATCTGCACTCCCTAGCCTGGGTTGACAAGTGAGACCTTGTCTTTAAAAAACACAAAACACAAAACAAAACAAGACAGCCCAGCAAAGCAGTGGAAGCCCTAAGGCCAGGAGGCCTCATTTTAAATCCCAGCTCTGCACTGGGAGGATGTGTGACTGCACAAGGGCTTTCTTCTCTTTGAGCTCAGTTCTCTCTAGTACTTTTGGGACATTGCCCTCTACTCTTCAGGTTGTATGCAGATTAAACATAATGCAGGTGTGGCTGGCATGATACTGCTATCAAAGGTGTTTGAATAAGTTTGTCCCCTTCCTTCATCCCACCCAGCTGTTCAGCCTTTCCTTTTTTTTTTTTTTTTTTTTTCTTTGAGATAGAGTCTTGCTCTGTTGCGCAGGCTGGAGTGCAGTGTTGCAATTTCAACTCACCGCAGCCTCTGCCTCCTGGGTTCAGGCAGTTCTCTCAGCCTCCTGAGTAGCTAGGACTACAGGCACACACACTGCTAAGCCCTTCCTCTCTTTAGGGTTTTCCCACAGCTCTAGCAGGATTTGGCTCAGCCAGCGTCACCGAAGCCTGCTGGTATGTGTGTGCATTGGAGCACCACAGTGGTGAAGAGGAGCAGTAAGAACCCCAGGGCCAGGGCCCCTCCTGGCTGGAATGGAATGGGAGAGAAGGGCCACAGAAGCCTCTGGCTCTGCCCTGCCTGTGAGCCTTCCAGCCTGACAGCCTGGTGCTGTCTTTGAGTCACCTGTAAAATAGATGCAGCTGCAGTTAGCTAGGGTAGGAGAAAAGACACAGGACCAGAAGAAGGACCTAGAGTGTGAAATTTCAGTCAAGCCACCGTTTAGACCATTTAATGGTTTTCCATGGTGCTCTGGCCTGGTTGTCAGCCCTGCCCACCTCTGAGCTCCTGAGCTACCATTCACCGGTTCCTTAAGCCAACCCTTTCCTGCCTCGGTTCAGCTGTTTTGGAGGACCATAGAGGTGAAGGAGGGCAGATGAGAACCCCACGGCCAGGGCCTTTCCTTGGAATTGTTTAGAACATTCTTAGCTTTCTATATGGCTGGCTCTTCCTTATCCTTACGTCTCAGCCTTCCAAAACCCTTAGCCATGGAAGTTTCTCTTATCTTTATAACCCCCCCACCTTTATTTCTGTTTCCTTTTTGGCACTTATTGGTGGTTATTCACCTAGTTGTTGTCAGTCTCCATGACTAGGTGCACTGTAAGCTCCACAGGTTGGCGTGCATGTCTGTTTAATTCACAAAGGCATCCCAGCACCAAGAACTGGGCCCAATATAGCAGGCACTCAAATGATAATTTGAATGAGCAAGAAGCCTTGAAGAGCAGCAGGAAGGTGAGAAGCTGTAACTTTTCTTTTTTTTTTTTAAGATGGAGTCTCACTGTGTTACCCAGGCTGGAGCGCAATGGCATGTTCTCAGCTCACTGCAACCTCCACCTCCTGGGTTCAAGCAATTCTGCCTCAGCCCCCACAAGTAGCTGGGACTGCAGGCATGCGCCACCACACCCGGCTTATTTTTGTATTTTTAGTAGAGACAGGGTTTCACTGTGTTGGCCAGGCTGGTCTCCTGACCTCGTGATCCGCCCACCTCAGCCTCCCAAAGTGCTGAGGTTACAGGCGTGAGCCACCGCACTTGACCGACATTTTTGCCTTTGAGACGAGGTCTCACGCTGTCACCCAGACTGGAGTACAGTGGCACAGTCACAGCTCACTGCAGCCTCAACCTCCTGGGCTCAATTGATCCTGTCACCACAGCCTTGCAAGTAGCTGGGACTACAGACACACACCACCATACCCAGCTAATTTTTGTACTTTTTGTAGACACAGGGTTTTGCCATGTTGACCAGGCTGGTCTGGAACTCCTGAGCGAAAGCCATCTGCCCACTTTGGCCTCCCAAAGTACTGGGACTGCAGGCGTGAGCTACAGCATCCAGCCTGACTCTCCAGGCTGGAGTACACGGGCATGATCATGGCTCACTACAGCCTCACTGCAGCCTCCCTGACCTCAGCCTCCTGGGACTATAGGGCACGTGCCATCACAATAGCTAATTTTTTGTGTTTTTGTAGAGATGTGGTTTCACCATGTTGCCCAGGCTGGTCTCGAACCCCTGGGCTCAAGTGATCTGCCTGCTTCGGCCTCCCAAAGGCTGGAATTACAGGTGTGAGCTACCGTGCCCAGCCAGGGGAGGGTCTTCATGTCCAGGCTCTGGAGTCTGGACTTACCGTGTAGGCAGTAGGAGACAAATGGCAGTTTTCTAGAACAGGAATGACAGCCATGGCATTTTAGAAAGAACATGAAACCAGTAAAGAGGCTAGACTGAAGAGCTGTAAAGTTGGGGGCTATTCAAGAGCGTCCAGAGATAGGGGGCAGGGTGCTATAGGTGTCCCCCAAACCACATGCATATCACTTAATGGTGAGAAATTTTATACTTCTAAACAATCAACTAGATGGGAATGGGGTCAGAGTTGGTGGTAGCTTTCTCAACAGCATGTGGAAAAAAGTCAAGGATGTTGGTTGAGCGCATGTTCTGCTGAGGCTACTACTCCTGGTATTGCTGAGAAATAAGAATGACTTTCTTCCAGGCCAGGCACGGTGGCTCATGCCTGTAATCCCAGCACTTTGGGAGGCCGAGGCAGGTGGATCACTTGAGGTCAGGAGTTCGAGACCAGCCTGGCCAACATGCTAAAACCCCATCTCTACAAAAAAAAAATAATAATAAGGAAAAAATAAAGAATAACCTTCTTCCTGATAGCTCCCTTGTGCCTTTGTGGCTTTCTCCAGCCTGCAGTGAAACTCTGCACTACAAACTTGGGAATGAGTTGCCCTTAGCATCAATCCCTCTCTTCTTCTTCATCCACCCAGGCAGCAGGTCCTACCATTCCAGTATCCTAAATGCAGCAAACATTTGTCCTCTCGCCACCTCCCTTAATGTAACCTGAACTACTAGCAGTACCCCGTCTCCCTGCTTCCAGTCTGTTCTCCACATCATACGTTGCTCCTTACGTCAAACCCTTATATAGCTCCTCAGTACCCTTAACAATAAAGAAGCAAATCCTCCTGCTAAGAGGTAGCTTTCATTTACCACTCTAAGCTCCAGCTACATGAAGTTTTTGTTTGTTTGCTTTTTTGAGACTGGCTCTGTCACCCAGGCTAGAGGGCAGTGATGTAATCTTGGTTCACTGCAACCTCATCCTCCTGGGTTCAAGCAAGTCTCCTGCCTCAGCCTCCTAAGTAGCTGGGATTACAGGCGCCTGCCACCATGCCCAGCTAATTTTTCTATTTTTAGTAGAGACAGGGTTTCACCATGTTGGCCAGGCTGGTGTGTGTTCTTATTTAACTCTCTTTTCCTACTATTAACTTCTGTGTTTTCTGCTGTGTTCCCAGGTCCTAGGACATGCTTCATAGCTGTTTGTTTTGGTTTGTTTTGAAACAGGGTCTTGTTCTGTTGCCCAGGCTGGAATACAGTGGTACGATCATAGCTCACTGCAGCTTCCACCTGTTGGGCTCCAGCGATCTTCTGACCTCAGCCTCCCAGGTAGCTGGAACCACAGGGGCGCACCACTGCACCTGGCTAACTTCTTTTGTAGAAACAGGGTCTCCCTGTGTTGCCCAGGCTGGTCTTGAACTCCTGAGTTTAAGCAATCCTCCCGCCTTGACCTCCCAAATTGTTGGGATTACAGGCGTGAGCCACTGCGCCCAACCCATAGCTGTTTTTGATTGAGCGAACTGATTGGTCTTGTATATTCATTCCAGATATGTAACTGGTTCATCAATGCCCGGCGGCGGCTTCTCCCAGACATGCTTCGGAAGGATGGCAAAGACCCTAATCAGTTTACCATTTCCCGCCGCGGGGGTAAGGCCTCAGATGTGGCCCTCCCCCGTGGCAGCAGCCCCTCTGTGCTGGCGGTGTCTGTCCCAGCCCCCACCAATGTGCTCTCCCTGTCTGTGTGCTCCATGCCGCTTCACTCAGGCCAGGGGGAAAAGCCAGCAGCCCCTTTCCCACGTGGGGAGCTGGAGTCTCCCAAGCCCCTGGTGACCCCTGGTAGCACACTTACCCTGCTGACCAGGGCTGAGGCTGGAAGCCCCACAGGTGGACTCTTCAACACGCCACCACCCACACCCCCAGAGCAGGACAAAGAGGACTTCAGCAGCTTCCAGCTGCTGGTGGAGGTGGCGCTACAGAGGGCTGCTGAGATGGAGCTTCAGAAGCAGCAGGACCCATCACTCTCATTACTACACACTCCCATCCCTTTAGTCTCTGAAAATCCCCAGTAGGCATCTGCCAACAAGGGTGCTCAAGGCTCAAGCCAGCTGTCCTGGGTTTCCGTTTTGGTTCCCTTTCATACAGAGGGTTTTCTATGGATCACTGCCAAACATTGGGATCATCTCCTCTGTCCAGAGGTCTTCAGCAGGAAGACGCCAGCTGGCACCACTGCACTGTGATAGGGGCCCTCTCCTCTGCTGACTCTGCCGTTTCTCCAGGCCTCCCCTCAGTGATGAGACCAAGAGATCGGAGACAAGCATGGTGCTGATGCTGCTGCTGCTTCTCCAGAAAATCCCTGGGACACCTTTGTTCCAGCCTGGTTTCCTGGGCTGGGCTCAGGAAAGCTGCCAAGTTCAGTCCTATGTTGGGTCCAAGCTGCCCCTGTGCTGTTTCTGTCAAGCCAGGTATGGACATTCCAAGTTCATATGCATGAACAAAAGAAAAGAGGAACCCAGTGGATGTAACAGAACCGACTCCAGTTGAATGTTTAGATTTTTGCTAAACTGTTTTCTTTTTCCCTTTTTTGCTGTGGTTTGCATTCACGGCAGTAGTTAGCCCAGGTGTGGGGAACGAGAGTGCACTGCATGATAGCGTTATGGTGAGCTGGGAAGGACCCACCACTGCCACTGGGGATTGTTTTGCAAGAAAGAAATATTTTTATTTTGGGGGCCAGCTAAGTCTCTGCAGTAGTGTGAAATTCCAAATGGTGGTTTTATCGTTGGTTTGGTTTACCCAAAAAAAGGCAGGAAAAAAAAAAACCCGTATGAACGCATTGACTTTTCTGCCACAGGCACAGAAGGGTAGAAAGCCACAGCAGGGGGCAGTCCAGCAGACTCTGACTCAACTTTCTAGGTACCTAGCAGAGAAGGATGGTAAGATCAAAAGGTGTTTGGGTTTTCTTTTCTTTTTTATTGTAGTTTTTTTGGGGGGGTGGGGGGAATAAACTAGACTGAAGCGATGGATTTTTTTTTTTTCTTTAATGTTTTTCCCTTTGTTCTTGAACATTTTTGCCCTGCAGCCTGAGTTTTGAATTCTTTTAGGAACTTGGATTAGAGGGGCCCTATGTCAGAAGCTCCCAGCACCTCCTACTTGGGAGAGAAGTGAGCCATCTGCTGGTCAGGAAGTCCTCCAAAGAGGCAGCCTTTCCCACAATGGTGGCAGGAAACTACCTGGGGAAAGCAGGAATAGTGTCCACTGCTGCCAGGGAACTGCCTTCAGAGAAGGCTGGGGCTGGAAAAGGGTTAGAAGCCTGCTAGCTGGGATTGTCTTTGTTTCAGCTTCCTTTAAATTAGAGTTACAGGGGCCCCTGCCCAGTGAACAGATCACAATTGGTCTTATGCTCCTCCCTCTCCCCCATTTTTTCTTTTGCTGTTTTGTTTTTTGTTTTTTTGAGATAGAGTCTCACTCTGTCACCCAGGCTGGAGTGCAGTGGTGCGATCTTGGCTCACTGCAGCCGCAGCCTCACGAGTAGCTGGGATTATAGGCGCCCGCCACCATGCCCGGCTAATTTTTGTATTTTTAGTAGCGATGGGGTTTTACCATCTTGGCCAGGCTGGTCTTGAACTCCTGACCTCGTGAGCCACCGCGCCCAGCCTCTTTTGCTGTTTCATTGCTGACAGTGTTCAACAGCAATATGTCCCATCTTTATGTATCCTAAGAAACACTAATCCTAGGTTATTGTTAGCCAAAATAGTTTTGTCCTGAATAACGTCACTGGGCCAAAAGAGAGATCAGTACCGCAGCCTTTAGTTTCCTGAAATCACCAGGTCAGGCACAAGGAGAAGAGAGGTTCCTGGATACTGACTAACTTGGGTGGGCCTAGCCAGGAGAAAGACAGTAACATGTGTTCTGTACTTTCTTGGAAGATCCCTGAAGCCATCACAGAGGCTCCCCAACTTCTGATTCGCCCATCTGTTGCTGGAGTGGGAATGGATTGCTGAAGGAGAGGGAGCTTTGCTCTCTCTAGGTGGGCAAGTTTCCTGGGCTCTCTGTGTTGCCTCCCTCTGGCTTCTTCCTCCCGTGCCCTCTCCCCGTGTGCCCCAGGGGGATCAGGGATCCTCACCCTCCTGAGGCCCAGTGGGGAAGAATGAACATGGCTGCGTCCAGGTTAACTGAAGCTGCCATTTGCCCAGCCTTTTCCATCCCAGCCCTGTCAGTGAGCCCTGGTCTGGTGCAACTGCTGCAGGATGCCTGTAGTAGGGAACTCTGGAAGTGTATTGGTCTGAGGTGGGATTTTCCCTCCCCACAGTGCACTGAGCAACAGAGGGTGGTGAGGGGTGAGGGAGCCATGCTGCTGAATTCTGGTTGGCATTCCCCCATTATGTAAAGTGGGGTGTTGGCGTGGGGCAGACTCTGCTTGGGTTTGGTTGTAAGATAAACCTGGAGGAGAAGCACAGTTGTCCCATTGAATTATTTGAGCAAAAACTACTGTAAATAACTTTTTTGTCTTTTGTCAAATAAAATTGTTGTTTTTTTTTTTAAGCAGAAACAGGGTTCTTGATGATTGATCCACCAGGGCTCAGGGCCCAGGCTTGAAGACAAGGCAGTTACTGGCTTCCTACTTTGCTTTACATCTTTTACTCTCTCTAGTAGCCAGCTGTGAGTTCTGTGCACACTGTACCCCCATTCCCTTTCACCAGCTCCATTCTGTATCCCATTCAACTCAGGGTAAAGGGGGCCTTTGCATCCCACATTGAGCCAGTCTTCCCTGGGATCAACAGTTAAGCTTTGGGGTTGCTAAGTGGTGAGGATATAACCTTGAGGAACTGGCAGTATTGTCCTCCCCCTCTCTCGGTAAGAAATGAGCACAACTGCAGCGTGAACCCAACACAGAGAGAAGCAGCTATGAGGTGGAAACTCCAATCATGTCTGAAACCAGGACTACCTCTAGACTTCCCTATTATGTAAGCTAGTGAATTCCCCTTTTTGCTTAAATTAGCTGTTAATACATTTCTGCCATACTGAAATGACAATACACTAACTGCAGCCCAAACTACAAAAACCAGGGTCTGCAACAGTGGGAGACTGAGTTTGGCTGAGTGGGCCTGGGCCTGGGTCTGGGTCTGTGCTGTGTTCGATCTCTCTTTTTTTTTTTGATACAGAGTCTCTCTATCGCCAGGCTGGAGTGCAGTGGCGCAGTCTCGGCTCACTGTGACCTCCACCTCCCAGGTTCAAGTGATTCTCCTACCTCAGCCTCCCAAGTAACTGGGACTACAGGCATGCGCCACCACGCCCGGCTAATTTTTTGTATTTTTTAGTAGAAACAGGGTTTCACCATGTTGGCCAGGATGATCTCCTGACCTCATGATCTGCCCATGTCGGCCTCCGAAAGTGCTGGGATTACAGGCGTGAGCCACTGTGCCCGGCCCCAGTTGCTTAATGTTTGTATACACACATGGAATTGAGATGCCCCAGGTAAAGAAACTGAGTGGGCTGTGGTTTGTGCCTACAGTCCCAGCTACTCCAAGGCTGAGGCTGGAGGATCACCTAAGCATGGGAGTTTGAGGGTGTGGTGAGCTGTGATTGGACCACTGCACTCCAGCCTGGGTGACTGAGACCCCATTTTTTTTTTTTTAAGGGAGTAATTGAGTAGGGATTTAAGATACTTGCCAGAGGCCGGGCGCGGTGGCTCAAGCCTGTAATCCCAGCACTTTGGGAGGCCGAGACGGGCGGATCACGAGGACCATCCTGGCTAACACGGTGAAACCCCGTCTCTACTAAAAAATACAAAAAACTAGCCGGGCACGGTGGCGGGCGCCTGTAGTCCCAGCTACTCGGGAGGCTGAGGCAGGAGAGTGGCGTGAACCTGGGAGGCGGAGCTTGCAGTGAGCTGAGATCCAGCCACTGCACTCCAGCCTGGGCGACAGAGTGAGACTCCGTCTCAAAAAAAAAAAAAAAAGATACTTGCCAGAACTCATATAGCCCATATAAATATGGAGCTAGAATTCAAATTCAATTATGTTTTCCTTCAGGGTCACTCAGGTCTGCCCAGAACCTATCTGAACTAATATAGTGGGCAGTTATATATAGTGACCACTAATGTAGTATCATCTAGCTGTCTAGAACACTGCTACGAGCTAAGCACAAGAAGTTTCTTCTCGTGAACGAAATCTTAATTTCTCCCCAGTACACCTGGATGGAGGATGTCTGGTCTTCTACAGGTCATTCTCTAGGAATTTCGAGAGAGAGCCTCCCCACTCAAGTTTCCCAGATTAAAGAGCCTCAACTCCCTTAGCCATTCACCCATGGTCCTGATTTTCCCCCACTTCTCTCTTAGTATCTCTCAAACTGCACACTTGGCTCTGGAGCTCAGCAGAATAGGCTCGTGCTGTTACGCCTTTTCAAAGTAAGTTTAATATATAATTCACATTGGCTGGGCGCAGTGGCTCATGCTTGTAATTCCAACATTTTGGGAGGCTGAGGTGGGTACATCACTTTTGAGGTCAGGAGTTGGAGACCAGCCTGGCCAACATGGTGAAACCCTGTCTCTACTAAAAATACAAAAATTGGTGGGTGTGGTGGCACACCCCTGTAATCCCAAATACTCAGGAGGCTGAGGCAAAGAGAATCGCTTGAACCACGGAGGTGGACGTTGCAGTGAGCCGAGATCGCGCCACTGCACTCTAGCCTGAGCGACAGAGCGAGACTCTGTCTCAAAAAAAATAAAAGGAACTGAAACCAAAAGTGTCTTCTGCATCAAGCTTCAAACAAGCCCTGGAGTGAGCAAGCACTCTAGATGATGAAAGTGAACTGTGGGATAATGTGGCAAGGGCCCCTCCTCTGAAGTTGGGAACATGATCTAAGGACATCCACCTTTCTTATTATAGTCTCATTCAGGAAACAGCTTTTAAATGCATCTGCCCCGGTCGTGAATACCTGCTGTCTCTTTGGACCTGGCTATGGATTGCCTGACCGCCTCTCTGTACCCTTGTTCTGTTCT